AATGTCATATCATCATCTAATGTGGAATTATTATTTTTGTTCGTATTAACATTAAACTATGACATACGCAGTCATATCACTAATCGAACAAATTATAATGATATGGACATTACACGTTATCATATTCGAAACTCACTGGGTTATTTTTATTATCCAATGACGTACAATTTTCCTGATTCAAGTGAGTTCGTTCCAATTTTTTTTTCATGTCATTTTCGGTCTAAGATAACACTATCATAGACATAAGTTTGGAGTCATACTCCCGATAGTAGGAACTTATGTTCTCGATAGACAACTAATGTTCATTCATTTCATTGGTACGCAGCAACCGTCGTTTCCTACATTTTCAGCGACAATCTAAACCGAACTTCCGCAATTTTTGTTTCACGATGATCCCTACTTTAATGTTTATACACAAATCGAGTATTCGACGCCGCATTACCAGCCGATTAGTAATGATTATGTTCATATTATTTATTCATTCACATGTATATCTGAATGCTGCATCATCCATTACCGATAATCACAATTCGATTACTGCAATTAATATTTTATTTCCATTGTACTGTACACCAGAACATAGAGTTTAGAGCTAGTCTCTCAAAGTTACACTCTTGTTCGTCACATTCAAGTCAGTCTCACTCGCTGATATCGATAATCATATGTATTGGTATTTTTATAATGCCTTAATACGGTTTCGTAACAAATGAGGTTGAGCGCATATCCCTCTAACTACACAAACCACGATAGGCTTCATGACCAAAAAGGAATACGACTCCGCATATCTCGTCTCAGCAGTCACTATCCTGTTCCTTTGGTCATTCTACTAATACATATTTAACGATAACTCGACGCAAACGGTAACATACGCTGACTTCGCATTTTATTATCATTATCAGTAGCAGTACAGCAATGAATATCAACCGTTGATGCAGTCATCATCCTACGGCTGGATTATTTTTTATCCCACGTAAACTCCAATCGTGTAAATTCGAATCCACTCATCGCCAATCGACTCTATTTACTCGACTGCAGCTTATCAGAACATATGTCACTGTTATTTATCCTCATATTCAATCAGCACCACAGAGCAATTACTGTTATACTCTATTTTCACTATATTTCAAATCGCTCATACGAACATGTTATTTTATCATTCGGACAGTCACTACATAAATTCATGTTAAATTTTTTCGAACGCTTACTAATGTACTCATAATCACATGCTAGCATCCCTATTTTTGTCCGCACTTTGACAATATTCATGTTCCTTTTTACATAAGTATGACACTTTCGCTTAATACGCTCACCCCTCACATGACACTGTAATTCATCAGGTATTGTACCATTTTTTCCCACATTTTGACGTTATCCTCATACCGCTTCAGTGTTATTTTTCGAAAACAGACATTTTTTTATAAATGTGCTATTTTCTACAAGGGGGCTATGTAGTACCAGTTCATATGTTAGGCCCATATACTTTATTCTAGTTACTGGCCAAGCCAATTCACCTGTACATTGAGTCATCTTTTGATCTTGTTAATCATTTGCTTATTAACCTTGAGTACTTTTTATATGAGCGCATATGTGTACACTTCGTATCTTATTCATCATATGTCTGTCACTCATTTTTGCCTGCCTATAAATGTTAGTTAACGCTTGCTTAAAATGAGTTGGCTTCCCAGCCATCTCCAATGCGCATTGTTCTCGCTTCGCTCTCGAGTTGGCTTCCCAGCCATCTCCAATACGCATCATCTTTGCTTCGCTTGCTTACAGTTGCTCATGTGCTTACAACTTTCTGGTCTGCATCGATTATCAATAAAAATGTAGTTGCCGCTTCCCTTTGCCTTCTGATATTATACACCGTTAAGATTGGTATTAATAACGGTTATCGAAGCGAACTATGATCGAAGCACGGCACTACAAAACTGGTAATCCCGACGTACGAACACGCAACACAATTAGCGATCCCGACTTACGAACGCGAAAACATAATTGGATGTCTCGCCGAACGAACATCGACCAGAATCGACAACCTCGACGTACGAACTCACAACATAATTGGCACGCCGTATTTGGAACACGCGACAGAATCGGCAACCGCAACGAGTGAACACAAATCAAAAATGAAACCGCCGACGACATATTTCGTTGATTCTAATAATCATCATATGCTCATTATTACAATAATGTCATATCATCATCTAATGTGGAATTATTATTTTTGTTCGTATTAACATTAAACTATGACATACGCAGTCATATCACTAATCGAACAAATTATAATGATATGGACATTACACGTTATCATATTCGAAACTCACTGGGTTATTTTTATTATCCAATGACGTACAATTTTCCTGATTCAAGTGAGTTCGTTCCAATTTTTTTTTCATGTCATTTTCGGTCTAAGATAACACTATCATAGACATAAGTTTGGAGTCATACTCCCGATAGTAGGAACTTATGTTCTCGATAGACAACTAATGTTCATTCATTTCATTGGTACGCAGCAACCGTCGTTTCCTACATTTTCAGCGACAATCTAAACCGAACTTCCGCAATTTTTGTTTCACGATGATCCCTACTTTAATGTTTATACACAAATCGAGTATTCGACGCCGCATTACCAGCCGATTAGTAATGATTATGTTCATATTATTTATTCATTCACATGTATATCTGAATGCTGCATCATCCATTACCGATAATCACAATTCGATTACTGCAATTAATATTTTATTTCCATTGTACTGTACACCAGAACATAGAGTTTAGAGCTAGTCTCTCAAAGTTACACTCTTGTTCGTCACATTCAAGTCAGTCTCACTCGCTGATATCGATAATCATATGTATTGGTATTTTTATAATGCCTTAATACGGTTTCGTAACAAATGAGGTTGAGCGCATATCCCTCTAACTACACAAACCACGATAGGCTTCATGACCAAAAAGGAATACGACTCCGCATATCTCGTCTCAGCAGTCACTATCCTGTTCCTTTGGTCATTCTACTAATACATATTTAACGATAACTCGACGCAAACGGTAACATACGCTGACTTCGCATTTTATTATCATTATCAGTAGCAGTACAGCAATGAATATCAACCGTTGATGCAGTCATCATCCTACGGCTGGATTATTTTTTATCCCACGTAAACTCCAATCGTGTAAATTCGAATCCACTCATCGCCAATCGACTCTATTTACTCGACTGCAGCTTATCAGAACATATGTCACTGTTATTTATCCTCATATTCAATCAGCACCACAGAGCAATTACTGTTATACTCTATTTTCACTATATTTCAAATCGCTCATACGAACATGTTATTTTATCATTCGGACAGTCACTACATAAATTCATGTTAAATTTTTTCGAACGCTTACTAATGTACTCATAATCACATGCTAGCATCCCTATTTTTGTCCGCACTTTGACAATATTCATGTTCCTTTTTACATAAGTATGACACTTTCGCTTAATACGCTCACCCCTCACATGACACTGTAATTCATCAGGTATTGTACCATTTTTTCCCACATTTTGACGTTATCCTCATACCGCTTCAGTGTTATTTTTCGAAAACAGACATTTTTTTATAAATGTGCTATTTTCTACAAGGGGGCTATGTAGTACCAGTTCATATGTTAGGCCCATATACTTTATTCTAGTTACTGGCCAAGCCAATTCACCTGTACATTGAGTCATCTTTTGATCTTGTTAATCATTTGCTTATTAACCTTGAGTACTTTTTATATGAGCGCATATGTGTACACTTCGTATCTTATTCATCATATGTCTGTCACTCATTTTTGCCTGCCTATAAATGTTAGTTAACGCTTGCTTAAAATGAGTTGGCTTCCCAGCCATCTCCAATGCGCATTGTTCTCGCTTCGCTCTCGAGTTGGCTTCCCAGCCATCTCCAATACGCATCATCTTTGCTTCGCTTGCTTACAGTTGCTCATGTGCTTACAACTTTCTGGTCTGCATCGATTATCAATAAAAATGTAGTTGCCGCTTCCCTTTGCCTTCTGATATTATACACCGTTAAGATTGGTATTAATAACGGTTATCGAAGCGAACTATGATCGAAGCACGGCACTACAAGTCATCCGTCCTACTATTCGCCGATGACATTAAGATTTGGAGACCCATATATAGTATGTCAGACAGAATAATTTTACAGGAAGATCTTAACTCACTAGTTGCATGGATGAATGGGTGGTCACTAGAAGTAAACCCTAATAAAAGTGTTGTGATGCAATTAAATAACTACGATGATTCGTATCACTACACAATATGTGGACTAGTGTTGCCTAAAGTAAGAAACTATAGAGATTTAGGAGTCATACTAAGTAATGATCTCAAAACAACCAGTCACTGTAAGGCTGCTGCTGCAAAAGGCTATAGGGCATTATGGTCTATTCGTAGATCTTTCCGGTATCTGGATGGGGAAATGTTTAGATTATTATACCCAACTTTCGTACGGCCACATTTGGAATGTGGGATTCAAGCAGCGAGTCCTTGTTTCAAATATGAAACAGATATGTTGGAACGAGTCCAACGCCGCGGGACAAAAATGGTAAAAGGCTTATCTAGTCTATCTTATGAAGACAGACTGAGACACCTCAACTTATTTCCGTTATCTTACCGGCGAATACGGGGTGATCTAATATTGGCATATCGTATCCTGAACGATGACCTTGGTACTAACATGTCCTATCTTTTCCTCCCGTCTAGGGCTGAGGATTTGAGAGGACATTCAAAGAAAGTCCAAAAACCGAGATCAAATCGTCTACGTCTGGAGTTTCGTTTCTCTCACCGAGTAGTGAATTACTGGAATTCTCTACCAGAACACGTAATATCAGCACCTTCTGTTGATATATTCAAGACGAGATTGGACCTCCACAGTGTAACAAACTGCAAGGATTAAAATAGGTCACTAGACCTCCTATCCTTATTACTGAAGACTGAAGATTGAAGACTGTATATTGAAAGCGGCTTTTCAAAGTTTTACGCTTCCGTTAAATCTGGGGCAACTGTTGTTATATGCTCAGAATTATATTTCAATTAATATTTTAGCCCAATTAACATGTAAAATATAAAGTATACGTTATTTTATTGTGACTATGAAAAGTAGAATGAAGTACGCTAAAAACAGTAAGATCATAACTTATAAACAACCTTTTGAGCGACAATAAAATGACTTAAAAATTCACCTTGTTAGGGTCAAAAAAGGATTATAGATCAGTGCAAGAAATTAAAGTTGAAAGTCAAACTGGCATCAGTAGAAATGTTCAAATCTTAATCAACTGTATGGATTAATGCGATTCGCGGTAAAGTCGAAGAAATATCATCTTTAAGTTCATTGGTCTGTCCATGAACTGTAGTCTCGCCAGAAGAACATCTAAATTCTGGGGCTCTCAAAAAGTCGTCGCAATATATGTGCAGAAGTTGGATGCGACAGTTACATGTCGTTTATGACCTAGTAAGCTACTCAGCTAAATGAAATTAGGTCTACACGGCTGGTTCTCACTGATGCAAAATACATTCACTGCTTTATTCATTAGTCTAATTACTTCGTTGTGAGTGCCCATAATCCATGTGCGAACAAAATTTAATTGCAATTGATTCTAGTTGTTTTTAAAGGCTGTGATGAAGTGAAATGATGTATCAATTATGTTTTCCTGACCTAATGACTCACCGTGATTTAAGTACCCTGCTTATTATCATGGACGGTCTCACAATACTTCTGTTGAAGCTCGCGTACTTATTAAGTGTACTAGTATGACATAAAACTCTCAATGACGCTTTTTTAAAGTCAGTCCCATATGGCTGACTAACATTAGATTTGATGATCTGTCTTCTTTGTATCGCATTGTTACTGGCGTAGAACGCCTTCAGGAGTACTGACAGAGAGTCTTTTTATTCGTAACCACTTTTAGCTTGCTCATCGCACTACAGATGTTCTTATATTGCTCAGATGAGAGAACACGTGTTCTTGATAGTCAATCATATTAAGATGTTACTGAAGTAAAGTTGATGTGTATGTGTCAGCAGGACTTACTGTATTCACTTTTTGTCGACAAACATGGTAGTTTAGTAGCTTTTAAATTATACATATCTTCAACTGAAAATCACTGGTACTTTTATTTATTTAAACATAGATATTGGTACAAGGAAACACCAAATACATATGCGCCATACAAATCTCATTTGATTTGTGTGAGGGCTGTGATACTGCCCAGGTGCCCAAATCGAAGCGGGTGGTTTTCTTAGGGGGGGACACCCGGAGCCTTCGACCTAAAGATCTGATCCACAAGGCAGTGGAGCATTAAGTAGATGTAGTCCCATGGTAGCCGGTGACAAATGATTGATTCATACGCCATTTGTTCCCTCAGGGCCCCCAAATGCCCCGGTACGGCCGAGAGTGGGGAGAGTCCGCTCTCCATCTCCAAATGCTCTCACATGGCCAGCGAATATATAGCCTCTGCCAGGGAAGTCCTACTCACTGCCTTCTCGCACCAAGGGCGTTGTTTACGAAATTGAGAGGACGAAGAGCGAATTTCCGGCGCTTTAACCGAGTTGGTGGACAAGGCGAGTCCACCTAGGGGAGTTGGAAAACCCTGATTCCAAACCAATGGTGCACATTGGCTCCAGTATCCTGAAGGAACAAATGGCGTACGAATCAACCGTTGGTCACCGGCTACCATGGGACTGCATCTCCTCACGGTGCTCCACCGCCTTGTGGATCAGATCTTTTGGTCAAAGGCTCCGGGTGTGGTCCCCTAAGAAAACCACCTGCTTCAGTTTGGGCACCTGGGCAGTATCACAGCCCTCAAGCAAATCGAATGAGATTTGTATGGCGCATATGTATTTGGTGTTTCCTTGTACCAATATTTATGTGTTTAAATAAATAAATAATAAAATGTTCCCTCAGTATAATGGAGCTCATGTGCATCATTGGTTTGGAATCAAAGTTTCCCGAATCTCCTAGGTGGACTTTCCGTGTCCACTAACCCTGTTAAAGCGCCGGACATTCGCTTTTCGTCCTCTCAATTTCGTAAACAACAGTGATGCCACGAGAAGGCAGTGAGCAGGACTTCCTTGGGAGAGGCTATATATGCGTGGCCATGTGAGCATTTCGAGAGGGGGAGCAGACTCTCCACACTATCGGCCGTACCAGGACATCAGTAGTAAAATGAAAACTCCACACAGCAATCATCCGTTTCGGGTTTGTAAGGCAACAGAACAAGCTTTAAAGAAGTTAAAAAATTTTTTTCGTGAATTCGGACGAAATCGAATACCATATTCACGTTCATTATGGCTCATCCCATATAACGTTTATATGGCGTTAAAACAGGTGTTTCAAGTTTTTCAGTGTTTTTTTTACTTTAAGAGCTCTATTGTGTCTGTCGTTTAACCAAGTTCTATTTCTTCCTAGTATTGTTACTTTTAAAAATCTGAGAACATTTATCTATCCCAATTAGTTCTTGGCCAGACGTCAATGACCAACAAAGAATTACAGTAAAGTCATGAGTTCTATTCGGGTCATTCCTTTGGGTAAATTTGTTGTGAGATGATTTACATTACTCGTTTCGTTTAACAGGTGCCGGGCAAGATGTTGGTAGGAGTTGCATTCTTGTCACTCTGGGTGGCAAAAATATTATGTTCGATTGTGGAATGCATATGGGCTATAACGATGACGTAAGTTTTCGTCGTTGTAATCATCTGTCATTAAATCCTTTAAGAGAAAATTTCCTGACTTCACTTACATTACCGACAAAGGGGGTCTCAATGAGTACCTGGATTGTGTAATTATTAGGTATGTTTAGTTAATTAACATTTTCGTATTTCTATCGGTAGTCATTTCCATCTCGACCACTGTGGAGCTCTTCCTTATATGACCGAAGTAATAGGCTACGATGGTCCAATCTATATGACTCATCCTACCAAGGCAATTTGCCCGATACTTTTGGTGGGTACTTTCTATATTTTATCCTTATATTTGCAGGAAGATTATCGTAAAATCAATGTTGAGAGGAGAGGAGATCAAAACTTTTTCACTTCTGATATGATATATCGGTGTATGACGAAAGTTAGGTGTGTGTACATACATCAAACAGTCAAAGTAACTGCATTAACTTTTAATTTTGAGTTTTGTAAAAGGTAGATGATGAGCTCGAAATACAGGCATTTTATGCTGGCCACGTTCTGGGAGCAGCAATGTTTCTTGTACGCGTAGGAACAAATTCTGTCTTGTATACCGTAGGTTGCTTTCTAAAGATATCACTAGGATTTTTTAGGGCGATTACAACATGACACCCGATAGACATCTTGGTGCAGCTTGGGTTTCTCGTTGTCGTCCAGATCTTCTCATTACGGAAAGCACTTACGCAACGACAATACGAGATTCAAAACGTACAAGAGAACGGGAATTTTTGGAAAAGATACATGCTCGCGTTGAGGCTGGCGGTAAAGTAATTGTTTCATTATTTGCAACATCGATAGGTCTTGATCCCTGTCTTTGCCTTAGGTCGAGCTCAAGAACTTTGTATATTGCTTGAAACATATTGGGAAAGAATGAATATTTCCGTCCCAATATACTTCTCCATGGGAATGGCTGAAAAAGTATTTTCAAGAAAATTAAGCAGCCTAATTACCATTTATTTAGGCTAATGAGTATTACAAGTTGTTTATCTCGTGGACTAATCAAAAAATCAAGGAGACATTTGTAAAACGAAATATGTTTGACTTCAAACATATAAAGGTAGGTACATTTTACATAACTCTCCACTTAAGCACGTTTTAAAAGAATTTACAAGTTTAAAGGCATCACATCTTTTCACTAAATATCTCTTCCAGACAAATCCAACCAACCAATTTCCCTGTTACTTTCAAAAAATCACTAACCACCACACGTGACTCATTGTTTCGTCTTTATTTTAAAAGTTCCTAAAAGTCATCGCTTAACTATTATGGCCCCACCTATTTAGCGCTGTGTAAAGTTAATGTATGAGCAAGAAAGATACGTTAGTTCTGCATGTATTATTACCACTGAGGTGGTCAAAACATTTATTCATCCACTTACTGTTATTCTAAGATTCGTTGTGATAATGTCATCTTGGTGTGGTAACCTAAACCGATGGACATATGTACCAGTTTCTACGTTGCATATGACATTGACTCTTTCACTCTCCACCTTAACCATATACTGTTTGCTAAAATATAGTCTAAAAAATGTCATTGATAACCATATCAAGTACCAGCCGATGAAGTCAATAGCGTCGAGTTATATTATTTATGATTAAAGTTCTAGGGGGATTAAGAATTAATTATAATACAATTTGGTGGACATAATAATGACATGGACTCATTTACTCTGTATATTCCCTCAAAGGTCGAACATTGTGTTGCTTCTTGTTCACTCGTTAGCATGTGATTCTCATCTAATGTTATTCAAGTGAACTAAATAAAATTAACTCTCTTTTTGTCGTCTTTGACAGCAATTAGTCCGTTTCAAAGTTTTAAGACAACAAGTAAAGGCATAGCACATCCACTACATTTCTCAGCTCCAAAGCCATATGTGATATCTCACACTACTGGACTACATGATCTTTAGGATTGTACCAAACAAACCATAATATATCAGCAAGTGCCAATGTTTTGACAATTAGAATAGCTATGTGGTATACTTCTGTTGCTGTGTATGTTGGCGTTGTAAAACAATTTCATTTCCTAATAATTTTCGGTTCGGCACTCCCACAATATGGAGACTACTATTAAAATAACCAATAACTTACGGGTGATGTCTCTGGTACCACTTGCTTTCCGCATTATTTGGTAGTGACCAACAATGCAACCCCAAATCCATATTTCATCCTATTCAAGACTCTTTTTTGGATATACTTCTACTTAACTCCTATACCAATCTTATTTTAAATATCAGTATTATCCACTAAACAATAATTGCCTCTTGTTCAACGAGTATAAATTATGATTAGAGCTTAACATTTGTTATTGTTGACTGATAGGACCGAAATAGTTGTGGATTGTTGACATATCAGACTATGACTGTCGGAAGGGAACTCTATTACAAAATTATTACTTAACTTAGATTTCCTTTTAAGATAAATTTCTACCAGATATCAACAGATTATAGTTAGTATAATAAGACTTTTAACATGAATCAGTTAATTTAAGTTGACTTGATTTCTCTGATTCATTTCAGTAGATAATTCACTTTTCCGTCCCTATCTCATTATGTCATTGAGCTCTCTCGTTCCTCCGTTTAGGATTATTGTTACTATTTGAACACATAAATATTGATACAAAGGGGCACCGAATACATGTGCGCCACACAAGTCACTTGATTTGTTTAGGGAATTGGTATAAGTAGCATTAGTCTAGTTGACTTCTAAACTGTTTTTTTTACTATTTTTTTAAAAAAAAATTAACATTTTTTATCCGAATTATAATTTCTTTTCAAATATGGGTATCATTGAAGTAATTCCAACTCCCTGGTTCATTGTGATATTTTCATATCTTGAAATAGCCTCTTGGGCAAGGGACAGTCGATAATCCAGGACCAATGGTAGTCTTCGCCACACCAGGTATGCTTCACGCTGGACAATCTTTGCATATATTTCGTAAATGGGCTTCAGATGAAAGAAATATGGTTGTAATTCCAGGATATTGTGTTGCTGGGACTGTGGGTTACAAGGTTTGTGTGGATGTGTTTTGGTAGTATATTTGTTTAAGATTACCATAAAATAATTTCTATTCTTAACAAGTTTAGGATAAGATTATGAAAAGAAAATAAATTTCTTTTTACCTAAAGACTTTTCATCATTAGTAGACACCTTACTATCACAATAAATGCTAGAATTTAAAATAAACTTACATCAAAGTTTTACAGTGCAAGATCAAATAGTGTTTCAAGGTAAAAATTAAAATTGTAATTTTTAGTGGAAACTATTTTATATTTTCGTCTGGATAATTGAGAAAAAAAATCTTAGCTCGAAAAAAATTATGTTTATGGTATTTTATTCATCATTTCCTGATCCTTTACAGAAAATCGTTGGTATAACGCGTTACCTGTCTTATTTTATTGTTTTCAGATTTTAAATGGAGTCAGGCGTCTTGAATTTGATAAACAAGTTTTAGAAGTGAAAATGGCAGTTGAATACTTATCGTTCTCAGCTCATGCAGATGCTCGTGGTATTATGCAGTTGATATCTCATTGTCAACCTAAACATGTAATGCTGGTACATGGAGAAGCAATTAAGATGGATTTCTTAAAATCAAAAATTGAACAAGAGTTTGGATTACCCTGTTCGAAACCTGCTAATGGAGAGGTTCTACATATAAAAACGGAACAACAATTCATTGTAGAAGCTTCAAGAGAATTTCTTAATCAGTCGTATTGTATGTTTTTGTAGTTAAATTTTACATCATTTAAAATAACCACTAAGACATGAGAAGTATACTAACCAGTTATCTCTATCCTTATATGTATACACAAGATTTCTAACTATCTCTTTGTTTATCTGCGAACTAGTAACTAAGTACATATTTACGTGAGATAATGTATTCTAAGTACAATAGTTCATCATTTTCTCAATATCAACAATTCTAGTTTAATATCAGAAGGGATTTTGTGGATGTTATAGTAATTTTAATAGTTGAGATCATGAATCAACTTCTATACTCAATAACTATAATATCCACAAAATCCCTTCTGATATTAATCAACATATGCTCACTAGTGACCGGCTTCAAGAGGTATTTCCAGGAGTTCCAGTGAGAAGCAGTGACCAGTGGAGTTCAACCAGGTCTGTTGTGAGATAATAACTCACTGAAGACATTGGTGGATGTGTCGCTTGATTTCGTGGATCGGTTAAAGTTAGGCATGAACACTGTTGGATGCCAGCTCAGTGGTGTAGTGGTTAAGCGCTGGCACGCGAAACTGATAGCTTCTGGGTTGGAATCTCATAAGGCGGGATCGTGGATGCACACTGCTGAGGAGTTCCACAATAGGATAAAACATCCGTCAAGCAATGCTCCCAGGTTTCCCATGGTGGTGTAGCTTCAATTGACCCATGATCTCAACTATTAAAATTCTAGTTTACTTAATCTCCAATATTATGCAGCTAAGTATTTTGTAGATTTTCATAGAGGTAAATAATTGACGAAAATTATCCGTCTGCACACATATTTTCGAAAGAATTGGTTTGTTCAACAGATTTCACCTAAACAACTGAACTGCCTCCCTTTTAAAAATATAACTAAAATTCTATGACTTATAAATTGTCATGCAATAAATAAAACACTCTGCAGCGAATTGCCTTAGTACTGCTCACTTTCTTATTGTTTCCATCAGATCCATGTAAGAGTCATATTAAAATCAGCCTTTTGGTTCGTTCGCCTCAAAACAACAAACTCCATCTTATCATGCAAACTGTTGGATTAAAATACTATTTTTCACGATTGAGAATAATATTAGGGTCCTTCATTTTTTATATTTCTTAGATTCAGATGATCCAAATGAGCCACTGATTAAACGTTCTCGATCTATTCAGGGTGGAATTCAAATTGAGCCTGATGTAAGTTCAATGTTTCTTAAAACTACCAACATATAAATTTCAAGGAAGTTTAATACTTCTTCAAAACAGTACTTTACCTTTGATTGTCATTTTAGATTACTGTATTATTTTTCCACTACTAATAAGTAGGCAAATAAGATTTACGAAAATTACATTGATTTTCATTTGTGCAGACAACTAGGTCTTTTCGTCAAAACTTAACAGTCTTCGTAGTAATTTTTGTTGTCCTCAAGCATATTCAAAGTATGCTCCATATTTAATTGCAGCTATACATGATTTAACAAACCATATTCCATCAAACGATATCACTTTATAGGATTACTGTTATGACTAGTCATCGGTTGTTGGAAACGCTTATTTGAACTTGAGGGAACGAGGAATCACTGCAATTCCCACGACGCGAAGTAAGAACACCAAAATTGGTACAAGCAAAAATTTATTAGACTCAAAATACGACGACCCTAGTCGAAAATACACTCGTTTATACATTGATTGTAAACTAATTTGATTATTAATTAGGATGAAATCACACATATGAAAAATACCCAGAATTACAACAAATCACATGCTGTGTCATGCCGAGCATAGTTCATGTTAATTTAATACAAGAATATCGTATCTTAAATAAACATCACGTTGAAATAAATCAATGTTGTACCGAATAAAATATCCCACTGGAAAACTAAACATCATACTAAATTTTTTTAAAAACGGTAGTTATATTGACCAAAAATCACAATGAGTGAAAGAATGTAGTTTTGCTTTCTTTTTAACTCGTCATATCACCTCCTCTTCTTTTTAATGGAATGCGCTTTGCGTGAAGAGTCTGTTCGAAAGGTTGTTGTTCCTTTTCGTACTTGCTGGGATCTCGGCCGGTCACTTTGTCGTGTTCCAGCTTCCAATTAGTTTTTCAACTTCTTTTTAAAAATTCTGTTTAACCATCTAACTTCTACGCTCTTCTCCTTCGTTCAATGTATATATGATTCTCCCTACCTCACGAAACAATGTTGAGTCTTTATGCACCCACGCTACAAACAATGTGACTTTATTGATCTGAACTGTCTCAACATTACTCATACCTTCATTATATGGGAGTATCGGGGCCTGTGGATATAAATGAAGGTTGAAGGATCCTTTTGTATCATCTGACTTGTATTATACATGCTTATTTTTCCACCTGTCATACAGAAAAATACGATGCCATCATTCATTCCATTCACAATACCAATAAGCACATTTTACATTTTGGCTTTTCAGTATCAATCCATGTGATTCATGTGAGCTCCAAAGCATTTGAACGGGACATTTGTGTGTGTCTCTAACTCATTAGGATCAGTAGGTGGCTGCATTCTACACACAAGTATATTGCGATTGGACTAACTTTGAATTATTGAAACAAGGTTTACCTTTTTGTATGTGACATTCACTCTGTCTGATATGCTTGAACTAAATCGATTCCGCGGTAACGAACGAAAGCCAATAACACGATAAGCTATTCTAATCTGTTGTCCCAGGCCCCGCTAACTAGATGAAGAAGTCCAAGGCAAGTAGGGGAATATATATGTATTCCGTAAGCAGCCGAGTACAAGCAATCAAATAAGGGAAAAAGTCAAGCGCATTTATACAGCAACAAATTGTACTTGAGCATCATTAGTAAATAGCACACACAAAGAAACAATGGACCAATAGCGTTTAAGATAGTTTACAAGTGGGAAATATGACGAAGGTAAAAAGAGCGCGTTTGGCGCGAAAACAGCTAAATTCAAATTTCCAAAATAAAATTACAAAACTAAGCCATTTACCAAGTAAGTTTTGAGGATTTGACATCCCCAACACTGTCCGAATAAACAAGATAAATATCATCAGATTTTTTGGGTATCAGTAGATACTTATAACGAATACTGAAATTTGATAACTGTTCATTATACAATTTTCCTGAAACTTAGTGATTTATGCAAATTGATCATATTTAACGTTTTTGGCGAGATCAAATTGGCACGCTTTTTATCTTCATTCGACCTCAGCCTCCTGAGGTAAGCATGAGCTTTTGAGCCAGTCATCCGCTTTCATCTTGAATAAATCTTCATTTCTCCATAAAAACTACCAGATTGCAAATAACAATCAGTTGCAGCCATATTGATGATTCTATATCTTTTTAGAAATTTAACGGTGAATTTGTTCTTCGTTGCTATTTTATTTCATCTATTCTTTCAGGAAACCCCCAAACTACTTGATCGTGCTTCAGTTCTGGCTTCTTTAAGTTTGAAAGAGCATGTAATGCAATTTACTTCGACGCATGTATTTTCTTCCTCTTCGAATCTCGCCACGATTTTAGATAAATTTATGAAACTATGTTCAAAGTAAGCAATTTTTCTTTGTCGTGTTTTTGGAATGTAGTATCATGCTTACTTCTGTATAAGACTGCAGATTCATAGTATTTGCAGTTTCGCAATATACTACTACACTAAGTATAAATAGCAGTGACCAGTTAAGAACATCGTTTTCCTGTGTATATATTAGACACTATGTGAATTAAATTGCATTATGTTAACAAAAGTGATTTGATATAGTTTTCGTCACTGGTTGTTACCAGCTAGGGAGTCAGTGAAAAGTGTTAAGTACCGGAATCTTGTTTCTTTCTAGTTTGGGACTCAGTGGTGCTTCATCACCACATGACATGGGACCGAATTTCAAGACTTTCAATTCTTACACCAAAGAATATAGTTACGATTACGCCGTAGTTTTTCACTCTATTCCTCATTTCGGTTATGTCCTTAATTATAGTACACCATTTAATATTTATGATTTGTATTTTTACTATATGGTTTCTCTCTTCTTTTACTTCATATTATTATCATTTCATCGTTTGTGGTACACTACATAATGCCCTACTGTACCAAACAAATGAAACAAGATAATATCAATTACGTTGTAGTTAACAAATAATCAAATTTGCAATGAAAATTATCTAAGTAATCCAAGCGTTTTCAAAAGCTCATTCTACTTAATGATTATTGCATATTCATGTGTATGGTTCTCTCCGCAAATATTGAAGTTAACTTAGTCTAGAGTGAAACATTTATTCACGAATGACATTGAATGAGAACTGAACTGTATCACAATTCGATTTGATTTGAAAATCCAAACCAATGAATTTCAAGTCAATAGTGTAAGATTTCCATACTCTCCTTGAACTCTGAAGGTCCTGAATCTGTTAATTTACATTGTTTATATAGTCTTCGACTAGAAAGAAATATTTATTTCATTGGTCACTGACTTGTCAACAACTTCCTAGCTCTTATACGTTTATGATAAAAATTATCAATGGTAAAAATAAAGGCCACAAAGTACAATCAGTTAGATTGGACCTATACTCCCTGTATCGTCTACGAGAGTGATTTTGTGAAAAGAAATCTAAAGTGCTCTAAACAAAAATATGCATTATCCACGTGTTATTAGATTGTTTTATAATTTTGATTTCTGTTATGAAAGATCAATATTGCATTATTTGAACGTCGCGCAAATAATTTAGACTTTTATCTGCTTTCAGTTTATGAATTCATTGACTGTTAGACTGAACCGTGTAGGTAGTTGTGGACTACATGTTTGGGTTCTGGATGGCTATCACAACGAATAATTAGAGACTTTGAGTGACGTGGCTCAGAATCGGTCACAATGGTACAGATTTATCTTCCCTTATATCCTAAGTTTCCTAATTAGCTTCAGAATTTTTCATCTAACGAATCTATATTTTCCTCTGGAATCATACATTTTATGACTACTTTTTTCTACTACCACTAACACTGTTACTAATTACACTACTCTAGCGTCTCACTGCGCTTTGTGGTGTGACAACTTGAAGTGATGGACATTTATGTCGGTTCTACGTTTTGTATGACTGACTCTTTCAACTTGGACAGAAATCAAGATTTTTTTAGAAATATAAATTTATCTAATTAATACAATAAATCTAATCTCATGTGTTTTGTACGAAAGGTAGTCGTTCTACTTCTGTGTTATATTAGCTTATATGCACATTGACTGAAGAAGGAGCAATAATCGTAGCAGAATAATATTAATTGACTTATTTCGTAAATCCTGATTTTTGTAATATAAAATTCATGATTTAAACTAAAATAAAACTTGATTAGTTTGAGCAAGCTTCGGTTTAATGATCTCAGAGTTCAACTACTTGACAAACTACCAAATGACCTAGTCTAAACCTATTTTGTATCATAACTGAGTGAATGATAGTCATCATGAAAACGTGATAAATTGGACAAATAACTTTTTGTTTATATAAACCCTGATAACTGTTTCTTCTGTTTATACTAAGTATACTAATGACCTACTCATAATTTATCATGGAAAAATTACCCCTGAAGTTTTACATGTTTTTCGTTGTTTTATTGATGGAAAAATCACAAACAACATCTTCGTGAGTAAATCCAATTTGTTAACAAATGAACGTTAAACATTTCTAAGTGAACTTCAAAATTATAATTATTGTTGTTTACGATAAATGTGTCATTCACTAAGTGAAAAGGATAGTTAAATCAAGTATATATTAGAGCACCACCTGAGTAGTTAAAATCTTCAACTGGCTGCCAGTAAATCTGACGTTTGAATCCCTCTCCATCTACTTTGATTTGAACATCAGCATAATATCAGTAGTTCTTACATAAAATATTATAATTTATGGCCGAGTACATAAACTTGTACTTAATAACTAAGTTACATTACTGAATAGTTTGTTGACCAACACTTTCTCAGATGGCCCTATTGACTGTACTGGATTAATTTAAATACAATCTTCATTTGTACAATTATTACTATTATTATTATCATCGTCATCGCTATGATTGCCGATTTTTAAGTTCATATTTAAATCTTAATTGCATGATTAAATGATAAAGAATGTATCTATTCTGTTATCTAAAGGTTAAACGACTATAGTATCTTGTTACTACTCCATCCGATAAACATACACTTTAACACAGACGTACAATCTTACCAAAAAGTGTAATGATTACATAAACACGATATCTCATGTTTAATATTATTATTAGTCACTGTTTGCTTGCAATTTATATACTTGAACTTTAGTTATTTTGTGATTCATAACAATTTTAAATGTATCAGATAAATAGTTTTGATTGTAATTGTCTAATTAAGTCTAATGAGGGATCATTGCGTATAAGTACTTGGATAAACCTTGTTTTCTAGTTATCAAATCTTATATGCTTTAAAAGTAATATCCAATGTACATATTTATAGATACACACATATTTCTTTGCAAATATATCCTGTAATAGTAAATAAATAATATACTGTAACTCATTTAATTTATTCTACGTGTATACAATAGTCTCCGAGCTATACTTTTGTTTTGTGTAGAACAGTGGCGCTGAGTAATTAAATGGTTCGATTTTCATCAACTAGGTTGGAGGTTCAAACTCCGCTCCACCTACTCTCCTTTGGTTTCGGTAACCAGTTAGTATCCTTCACGCTTGTATGTGAATCATAAATTGTATTAGTACAAATCGACCATCCAAGCTAATGTAGGTGGAGCAGGGCTGGAACTTGCAATCTAATAGTTTATGGGCTCTAACTACTAAACGATATAATGTGTATTAGATGATTTACTCTGTTCCTAATTTCTCTACACATTTGAACTATGCTGAATATTTATAACAAATTACAGCTTGCATAAATATTTTATTTATTGAACTCAATGGACGTATTTTTATCATATCGAACATAATAAATGCCTTTTATCCAACTTGACATATATATTTACTTTTAAATTCATAACACATGCACCGTAAATATATATTGTACATGTATTATGTGTACTTATTCATAGACCAGACAATATATTTTATCTCATAACGTAAAATCAATATACATAATCAGTATTTCCATAAATGAAAGTAATTATCCACATGGTTTTCTTTTTAGGCATTCTAATAAAACTAGCATCATAGAGCATAGAATTAAGTGGTTAGATTGAAGTGTTGGACTGTCGGTTATGTGGTTTGAGTAGTTTTTTATCCCTTCGAAGTGGCCTTTTTCTCACATCGGTTTTAAAATAAATCTATTTTCACATTAATATGTGGTTTAAGTTTGCAAAAACTGGGAGACATGATATATTTCTCCCAAAGACAAATTCCTGTGGTTAATCCCAACATTCTCTCATTTATATGCCACTTGTAGAAAAAAGTTAATGCAGTGTGGAATATACTGATGTGTGGGCGAGAATGTCAATGATTGGTTGTCTCGATGAGTCAGACATTAGAGGGGATGACAGGTGTTATGTGTTATATATATATTTCCCTATCCTTATTATGTATCGACTTCTTGACTGTTCCTGGTTGATGGACACTTATTGATTAACTGTTCTTGTGTCGGATTTTCGTGTGGAAATATGTTGACATCATAGTCAGGCTAATCTGGTGTTCTTGATCTGAGTTCTGTTGAAGTCCTGTAGAATAGACAGTGGGTGGAAATCTAGTGTAGATATTCGTCTAAGATAAATTAACGTCCCACATACGTGTAAGAAGTAAAAGGACTGTTATAACCAGAAACCCCTAAAGTTATAACCAGCATCCTCTCTCTCTCTCTACGTTTATAACAATTGGCGACGGCATACATACGTTTATAACATATACGACTTTTCATTTCTTTCTGTTTCATTAAGTTGTCTCTAAAATCTAATCTTCAATTATTTCAAAATAAGAGGACTGAATATATTTTTATCGACCGTAGTCTCCATTGTGTGAGGGTTAAGACAAACGAATGCACACTATAAATGCAGTTGGCTAGATAAAATGATTGATGTAAGTGTTACATATGATATATGTACCTCCAACTTAGCTCATGATGTTATTCAACATAATTGAATTAATCAGTCGTATGCTAGTTAAGTAAAGTGTCATCGATCCATTTAGTAAAAGATGTCTCTACAGAGTTGGTAATTATTTTATCCCTATTCGTGTCTGAGTTTGTATTTGTAAGAAGTATACGTCATTCATTGCAGTGTGAAAAGAGAGCTTAATGGGTTAAGAAATCGAACTGCCAACGACTGAGTTCAGACCCGAATCTCAAATACAACTACAGTTTATCCAACTAGTCTTCGCGTAACAAGTGTTTCATAGATGAATACTTTAAAGTGTACTTAGTTACCACGATGCCACTTTGCACAGTAATGATCAATAGTTTAGTTCGTTTTTTATCCCTCACGTCTTCTTACATGAGACAATGGATACAATTGCACCAATATGAATTGGTGTTATGACTCACTAGTCCTAGTATGCTTTTCGCCCATATACCAATGTCCTTCGATTCGACTAATGATGCACTTTGGTCAACAATAGTTGACTCAGACTGGTGATCGACATAAGTCTTAACGTCTATTGATCCAGAGCGTACACCTTCCTCTAGTCCAGTAGCCAGTTCGAAGTAAGAACACAGAAAGCTGAACATCATCTATTCTTAAATTTCAGACATTCGTTTATTTGTATACTTGAGTTACCGAGCCTTTCACATCCACAATCTAGCCAAAAGAGAATAGAACAGGTGAATAGCTAGCAAACAATAATTCAAAAGCAGTGAAGTTCATGTAGACATTTTATACAATAAACGGAAGCTCATAAATAGGGATGTATAGAAAAGTGCCATAAACCGATTACTTTATGATCCAAATAGCCAAAATAATAATACTTCAAATGGTTCCAACATATTCAAAAATTCACTCCATTACAACCATAAATCAAAAACAGGGTCAAATGAAAAACAAAATCGGTTCTCTATTAATGCTAGTGCGAAAATTATAGATTTTAGGTGTGTAATACCAGTTATGTTTGAACGCTATTAATAATATGATACTTCACTTTTATTAATCAAACGAATATTTTCCTAAAACTCCATGTAGTTATCAACATTTTCACGGGTTTTATAACCAAAAACGTGGTATATGTTCCTTAGGTAAGAATCAAAGTCGACCGTTGACGATTTTGCATTAAAAAATATGCTTTAGAATTATTTCTCATAGCTTTAGATACGACAGGTACACTCTTTTTTATATGAATTTCGATTAGTCAGCTAACGGTTTTGTTGTCACCATCTTACAGCCTATGCCACCCAATATTACCTATCGAGATAGTTGGTGGTTCGGAACACTTAATACATATCTACCCGCCACCTCACTTTTCGAAATGTCGTAAGCTCATTAACCAATTTACTGTACTTATCTTATATCTTACGTCCAGCTCTGCTATTCAACCACGTGCGAAGCAGTGCTCTAAAAATATCTGTGATCTAATACTAGCAATCTAGACATTTCTTCTAGTTTTAAAGATAGCATTTCAAAGTTGTAAACAAGTCAGAAAGAACTGTTTGTTGTACAGTATACTCACGCCATTTTATAACCAGACTAATATAAACTATTCAGTTCTATTTACTCATCAATAAATTCGATTATTTCATTGTATTTTCAAATGGTTCATAAATTGTGTTTCTAACCCAATGAATTAATGTTTGTTTTTTCAATGGCAATAAATAAATATGATTATTTCATATTCCTGTTTAAATTGTCCATTACACTCTGGTTATTTTTTTAAAATACATTTATTATATATATATATATATATATATATATATATATCACCTTTCCTGACTGAATAGTTTGTTTTTTTGATAAACTCATCGATGTTTCTCTCATGCCGAAGTAAACTTCATTCATCACCTCACCGAAATAACCCATGTTTATTTGTTGTTTTATTTTGTTTTACTGATTAAAAACATGTTCAAAAATCAAATTGTTAGGTAAAAATCAGTTTAATAAACTTTTTGTGCTCATTTTTTTTTCAATTATTCAAATGTCTGTATTTATTTCAAAACTTATTGCTTTCATTAAAAGCAAACAGGCGGAAATGAAGTTTCTTACTTTCCATAAAGATTGGAATCTATCCAACTATTTGTCCACATTATTAATTCCTCTGAAGTTGATGACATATTTTAGTGTTATCCTTTGCAATATAGTTTTTATCCAAATAGTCATGTTGATCAGTAAATTTGGTTAGTGGCTAGCAGTGGACACATGTTTCATCCTTTTTAGAGCCCATCCTTTGGGTATACTTGCATTCTGGTGCTAATGTTCACTTAGGATCTCGATTTTGGTACGCATTGTCCACTGAGCTCGATAGTACTTTGTTACGGTTGCAAACTATATGAATTTTGCATGTGTTGGAGGTGACCGTCTAATTTTCATTAGGAATAGGTTGATAGTCATCAATCAGTCTTTATTTTTTATCAACGTACTTGTTTTCGTTCACTGGAAAAATCAGACTAATGCTAAAGACTTATTGTATTTGTATTAGCTTCACATCTACCTAGGTTTGTTCTTGTCCAAAATCGTATAGGTCTTAACTCTCATGTTAGTAATAAATGTGTTATTCTAGTCATATTAATCATTTTTGTTTACACTTATTCTTGTACGATTAATCATGAGCTTTTAAGCATGTGTTTTTTCTTATATTAGGCGTACACGTCTGTATTTATGTTTTTTTATCTACTTCACTATCAAATAGTTCGGATTGTTCATGTACATATTGAATAGCTTGTTATTCATTCACTATGTTTTCACCTTATTGCCTAAAATATCTCATACGCTTCATATTGCGATTTCCATGTTAACACATTAGTAATCACCACAGCTATCACGTTCCGATTAGTTGGTTATAAATGCGGAGTTACGTAGAATAATTTCGCCAATATCTAACTATGTGATAATCACACCAAATTAACTTTTGGAATCAGATTAGACGTACAAACTCCCCTATACTTTCAACCTTATTTAACATATTATAATGGAGCTTACTATGTACGTCTAATCCTCTGTGTTGTAGGTCTTATGAACAAGGTAGGATATACAAACAACATAGTCCTATTAGGTGGACACCCTGACAAAATTCAAGTCTTTTTGAACATACTGAGCCAATACGTAAGCTATAGCTTAAAAAATCACTTAATATAGCTAATTGTAAAGGTTAGTATGTTCGAGTTGCCAACATCCAAAAATTAAACTGATCTATCTTTGTTGGTGTTTGTGCTCTTGGATCATATTCTTCACGACTAGCTACATTTATAACTCGAACAACTTTTGACGATCATGACTCAATTCCCTAATAAATATTGCTCTAGTTTTTGAAGAAATAACTAGATTATCGCTTCATAGAAAACAGTTGTACTGTGATGTAAGTACACCGACACAAGATATAATAAGCATCCTGAATTCCACACATAGCCATCATCTGAAAACATAGTTAAAACCTTGACGATAACATTCATTCACTTCGCAAATAAAAGATTAGCCAAGAACATCAGTAAGTTTAAAATCAAATAATTCGTAATCATGTAGTTACTTTTAAAGTTTTAATCTTTCTGGATATTGTAGTGTAAATTTGCCTTCAAGCCCGAAAATTCCAAACTGAGGGGTTGTTTTTGGCAGGTCCCCCCGATTCCCTTTTTTGTATTCTATGATTTAATTGTTATGTTCTTAAAAACTATACCAGTTAAACTAAGGGAACTTCATGTGCAAATATGTTTTGTGTACAATAAATATATGCTACATTTTTAACTTTGGTCGCCTAATTATGAGGATATTTTTCTAAAACTAAGCGATCGTAAACAAACAGACCCTACGTAAGCATACTCATCTCTTCATTTTATCATTGTTTTCTGAATAATATTAACAGATAATGAAAATATTTTACATTATATATGTTTCCATCTGTAGATTACCCATCGATTCACCAAAAATAGTACGTAACCAAATTCTATTCAACGATTCAGTGGTTGTGTCAATTTGTGATCCTATGTTAGATGAATTCGATGATGAAACTCGTGAAAGATCAACAGCTCTACGTCGTACAGCTAACCTACAATCAAAGGAATTCGTATGTCATGTAACCTATAATTTACAGGTAAATCTCCATTAGTCATTTAAATTTATTAATATGTTCACTAAAATACTAAACTCCATTGTCCAAACTAGGCATGAAACTGTACATAAGCTATTGTGGTGACGTGTTTTTAGCCTATGTTTCAATAGATAGTGAAGATACCTTTTTTTATAACAACCAATATTGGTTTGTATAGGTTTGTTCAGTTTGATAATTACTACCTCAATCATTGATTGACATCAGAACCATTTAAAACTAGATAGTGATGAGTAAGTGTTCTGTTGCACTTAATAACTTTTTAGTATGAAACAAACCAATTGTTGAGAATTACATCCTTTACCTACCAATTAATCTAACCCTCGTCTGTGACATGATTAAGTATTACATTATTTACTGTCTATTTATTAAAGTCGATTGAGGTTTCTTACTGAACTTAATTAACCATCTAAATGGGAGATAAATGTTGAAGTTGTCAACAACATGAACATAAAGTAAACAATATCTCCGATAATTCCTTATTGTTGAGTTCAATCTATTTAATTTCACTAAATTTTTCAGTGTTCTTGATATCGACTTGGTGAAGTGAAAATGATTACGGGAACTTAGAGAGACATCCATAGGCTTATTATTATTATTATTATCATTATTATTATTATTATTATCTGGTCATAGGTCCCTTCATGACATTATGGCAGTATGTTAAGAGCACCAAGTTAAGTTGTGTTTACGTTAGACTCAGGGTACTATCCAAAGATATAAACTGGTTAATAGGATTATGAATCTTCATCAAATGAAGTGGTTAGGGCATGTGTTTTATATCCCTAGCCACCTCATACTTTGATGCACAATGTTGGCTGGTGTCGGAATAGGTTGAAAGAAAGCTAGCGGGAGCTGAACCAAGGCATATCACTATCAGTTCATTATGTCATTAACTGATGAACTAAGCCATGTTGGTAGATTCATAGTAGCTCATTGGTGTCCGTACAACTATCGTAACAATGGTTGAATACGTTAGGTCCAATGAATCAAAATTAGCTACAATAGTGTAGATGTTTTCACTTCTTATCTTTCCTTAGGAATTTCATCTTAAAATTATTTTGTTTCTTATTCAATGAATTCATTCTTTTCGAAACATATTCTCTTTGCCTGCTTATATTATACCACTTCAACTTATTTTGATAATTTTATCTCATTGTACTTAAATAGTGGAACAAATTAGACCAATGTACATATGTGTCCAGTTCTATGTTTCTTATAAATGACTTAAGTTAAGTAAAATCATTATGTACAAAACTTCAGTTATATTGTTATCTTTAACTAAAGCATTAAACTCAATCTTTTCCTTTTATTTATTTACTTATTTGAACACATAAATATTGGTACAAAGGGGCACCAAATACATATGCCCCACACAAGTCACTTGATATGTGTGTGGGCTATGATACTGCTCGGGTTACCAGACCGAAACAGGTGGTTTTCTTAGGGGGCCATCGACCTAAAGGTCTGATCCACAAGGCAGCAGAGCAACGTCAGAAGATGCAGTCCTATGGTAGCCGGTGACCAACAATAGGTTCATACACCATTTGTTCACTCAGGATCTTGGAGCCCATGTGCACCATTGGTTTGGAATCAGGGTTTCCCAACTCCCCTAGATGGATCCTACATATCCACCAACTTGGTTAAAGCGCCGGACATTCGCTTTTCGTTCTCTCAACTTTGTAAACAATAGTAACGCCACGAGAAGGCAATTAGTAGAACTTCCCTGACAGTGGCTGTACACTCGTAGCCATTTGAGAGCATTTCGAGAGGGAGAACAGATTCTCCCCACCCTTGGTCGTACCAGGGCATTTAGGCTTATTTATTTATTTTCAAAAATAGAAATTTTATTGTTCGATCTTTGATTGAACAGATTTTACTTTGTATTTTGTTTTCTTTTAGAATGAAGCTTTAGGAGAGCAACTTATCAAAATGTTTAAAGAACAAATCGTTAGTGTTTAAGAAGATCTTGGAAAATGTTGTACAGTATACTTCACTATTATTAAATAACTTTTCGTGAATTACATCTTTATCCAATTAAAAATATATAAACTTCAAAAACAAACTATGTTAATTGCCTTGTAAAATTTTAAATGTACGTAAGATTTAGTCAATATTAAGGCTAATCTTTTTAATAGTATTGTGGTGTTTGCTACTTATGCCGACAGATATAAGTAGTATGTAGCACTAATTGGAAGTAGAATGCCTGACAGTAGAAGATTGAAATGAAAAGAACAGAGAATCATCATGAAAGAATCATCAAGCATGTAAAGGACAATTGAAGAAAGATGTGTAAACAATGTATTTAATGTATGATTTTCATATTTAACCAAAGTACTCTTTAATTTTGCTACAATATTACAATCATTTGTGGACAATCTATAGAAATGCTTATTAGTTATTTATTTAATAATAATGAGAATTTAGAATAAATTGAACATTGGGTAGTTTGTTATAAATAAATAGTATATTTGTAACACCCCGATGAGTAGAAAATTAGATTTCTGACGTTTCGTGACTCAGTGTAAACCACTTCTTCAGAGAATAAATCACTGAAGAATGTTCTATTAACTTTTCGAGAAGTAATACACTCGTTTAAAATGATAGAAATGTATTATCGATCAGAGCTATGATACACAAAAGCCGTATGAGCAGTCTTGAGTATTAATCAGTCCTGTTTTCTGCCTAGCCCAGCCAGTTAAGTCCAGAACACTAATAACATCCTCTACAATATGAATTATTATTCTCAAACAAACTGGGTTTATATACCAAACAAACTGACCACATCGTATCATAAAATAGAAATAACATTTGTACAAGATTTGGCCAAATGTAGCTGTGAATTGAGGGAACAGTAATTAGTGGACTAGGGATAACTCGAGAATAGTAAATCGTATAATAATAGTCTACAGGTCAAAATCAAGTTTATAATAAGAGGGACACGAATATGAATGGTTTAGTTACTTGACAATTATACAATAGGAAATATATATATATCATATTAGTCCATAAATAGTCCTCAAAGTTACCATTCATAATTCTCCACGGGATATAACATAAACATAAGTGAATACAATACATTATTACACTTTGAAAATATTTCTTATTTGTTTCAGGAAACTCAAAAAGGCTACTTTTCTACTTGATTAATTATTTGTCTTTCAACAAGGATCAACATTTTTCTTAGTAACATTCTATTTTGATTATTCAGAGTAAATAATTCAGTTGATTCGTTTTGTATTCCTGACTGACATTAGATTGTTTAACGTAATCAACAAGAACCCAAATTTCATGATAGATTGGCGTCTCTGTCAGAAAGGTTTATCTAAAATCTTCTAAGTATTAATTATCCTTGTAGGATTCAAACTGAATATTACGGCCAGAACTGAACTACTTATTTCGTGACTTTTGTCTTGTATGATTGAGATGTTTACACTACTTCTTCATAAAGGTTTTCTTGATGACTACCTAACATCAAACAAAATGAAGTGCAATACAATACGGAATCACTTCTACTGCCGACTATATTACAACTTGATTTATAGAAACCGATTACCATTATGAACTCCACAACATAAAAACAGTCAATATTAAGTGATCAACCGCTATAACTGATCTATATTCACCTCAGATTCCTAGCTCCACAATAACAAAAGATCTATTAAATGCACACTCGTGAGGTTATTGGTAAATACAAGTAGATTACATGGAACTCTAACTTCAAGGTTAATGTAAAGAAGCTTTTTTGATAAGGTTTAAAATTATTCTCTTCAAAATATAAGGTTTATCACCTTTGAAGTTTATGTAGTGTAAACTTTTGACATGAATCAATTATTTAATTGGATGTTTAAGTTTTATAGCTGATATCAACACATCTTTAGGATATCTATTTTCGATATGTAGTTTCCTCAAAAAAGTTGATACTTGTACCGGAATTTCGCTGGATTTATGTGAAAAGTGATGTAAACTATTTTTATAAGTACTCAAGTATAAAAGCTTATCAACTAGTCATTCATCAAAGAGTTCCTGTAAACTAGTTTTCTTTTTAATCTCACCAGATTCCCTTGTTATTGTAATATCAGAAAAATGTAGATATTTCATCCATTTTACACCCAAAGAATACAATTTTCTATTAGAATATAAATAAACTCACTCTTATTATCATAAATAATAAAAGAATAATCTACATATAGTTAATACAAATGAAAATCTTTAAACTAACAATAAAGCAATCGGCTAATATTGTCCTGAAAGGGGACTGTCATATTATAAAAGAGTATCCCATGGCTATTTCATCCTTCTCTCTGTAAATAATGTCACCGTTTATCAATCAAGTGTATCTCAATAGTAATCCCTTTGAATAGAGTGTTAATATTACGGTTCCTATCATTTACGTATTTTCGAATGAAACTAATATTCTCGATGAGTAGTAGGGAACTACTCAAAGTCAAATGAAGCCGCAAATTTATTATATACATTCGCTTCATCTTTAGTACCAACGAATTGGAAGGTATCCTGCAGCAAATATATGGATATATACCTTATTGCGAGCTGCAGAGAGTTAGCTATTTCCCCATAGAGGGGTAAAGGGATCCAGACATGTAAATAAATGTACTAAGAAGTAGACCGTATTTTTACACTTTAGATAAACCATGCAAAGATGACGAAACCACACTGCCTTTGACAGACTTCTATTTACCTTGTAAATGACTGTTATTCCATTTTGGTCGAATGATTCGTGTTCTGTTATTGAGCTTCTTGTAGGTCCATTGCCGTTATAATATTGTGGTACTAGCTAGTTCATTTCGTTCGTCAATCAGATGATTTTCTTATTCTGTAGAAAACCTCAGTAAGTTGTTTTTCGACCGATTTGTTCTCGTTTATCTCGTGGACAACTTTAGGGAGCTTGTTAGTAGGACTCATTTTTCGATGTCACTCATTCGGTTTACCAAAAATATTGCTTCAGAGTTTGTGATTAATAGTCTTCAAGTACTTCCAAACAGTTTGGGTTGTGTTTCTATGTTCTCATATTGTCAGATATCGAACCAGTCAGTCAGCTACAACGGAGGACCAGGCACATATATGCATCGGTCCAAGTTGTCATACCTCATTAACACAACAAAATGAACACCGAATTCATAGAATTAGTTAATTTAGTGGTGGTAATATATAAAAGAAAGGTTGTATATAAGGATATAGTACAGAAAGAAAGACAAATATGAAGCAGTTTTAATCTCAAGGTTTAAGGGAAGATAAAAAGTGTACACTTTGCGCCATTGTGATCGATTCTGAACAATGTCACCTAGAGTCTCTAACCATTGGTTACGATAGTCACACGGACTCCAGCCAAGTAGTATGCATCTACCAACATGGCTCAGACTAGAAGCTAGTGACTTCAAGCACTGATGCCACGTTTTGGTTTGGCCGCCCCTAACTCTCTTCCAACTGTCGCCAATACTAGTTAGTATAGCGCGTCGTGGTAATCGATGTTCAGGTATACGTAACACATGGCCCAACCATCTCAGTCGATGAAGATTCATCACCTCATCAACTGATTTACCATCATTCCCTAATGCCCTGCGTCTAACCTCACTATTACTTACCCGGTGATCCCAGCAGATGCGAGCAATATTTCTAGGGCATCTATGATCAAATACTAGTAACTCACGAGTATCTTCTACTCTTAATGGTCACGCTACTCAGTGTTAACAGAAGACTCTGCATTTTATCAGCGTCTTCACCAAACTGGACTATGTCATCTGCGTATTCCAAGTCGATAAGTGAACCTCCTGGTAGGAGACCGATTCCTGAAAATTCAGTGGACGAGTGTTATTTGCAGTAGTAGGTCTATGATGAAGCTAAACAAAAATGGGGATAGTGGACAGCCTTGCCGGACGCCACTTGAGGTTACAAAATCAGATTACAGTTCGTCAAAAGCTCTCACTCGACTGCTGGTGATGGAGTGCAGATTCTTCGCAAGGTTTATGTACTTCTCAGGTACACCTTTCAATGACAGACACTGCCACAGAACCTCTCGGTCTACAGAGTCAAATGCTGCTTTCAAGTCTAGAAAAACTATCATTGTCGGACGCCGATAAACATGTTTGTGCTCTAAAACCAGAGGAATAGTGAATATGTGGTCGATACAGCCACAACCAAGTCTGAAGCCATCCTGATTTTCTCGTGTTCACGAGTCTTTGTAAGGTGCCCCATAATTATTGAGGCTAGTACTTTAGATGCTATGTTAGTCAAACTAATCCCTCTATGGTTATCACAGGATGATTTTGGCCTCTTCTTATATATTGGGACAATCAGAGATTGTGACCAGTCGGATGGGATTACATCCGTCTCCCAGATTTTAGCCGAAATATTAGTCAACCTAATCGCTAAAACTGGACCACCATATTTAAAGACCTCTGGAGCCAATCCATCTGGACCAGCTGCTCTTCCTCGTTTCAGATTACTTATAGCCTTTTGAACTTCAAGTAGGGTCGGGGGGCCTACTTCAATGTTCCATTCAGGTTTCCTGGGAATAATGGGTAGTTGGACAATAGCTGAAGGCCAGCTAAACTGTTCTCTAAACGTCTGAGCTGAAAGAAGATAAGGGTTCTTTGTTTTTCCGAGATTGTCTCGCTTACACTTGACTTCTTAATTCCGGTTTCTTTTATTAGTCTGAAGAGTTGCCTACAGCCGCTGCCTTCTCCATCTCTTCTGCTTTCGTTGCCCACCATTGCTCACGATCGTTCCTTAAACTTTTTGTTAACCTGGATCTGATTTGTTTTCGCTCTTCGTCGTGTTCAGAGCTTGATGGAATGAGTTTATGAGAATCTATCAGTGAAATAGACTTACAAGGAATCCATTGGGTTTTTGGAACCCTATGGTTTATATAACTAATAGATGTTACTGCTGTTTCCACAACTGTTCGTATATCTTTCCAAGCAGCATCTGGGTCAGTCTCGTTTACAAAACTGCCTAAATGTGAACTCAGTTGTTCCTGAAACTTACTTTTTGCTTTCTCGTCCTCCAGTTCAATCCTAATGGGTCTTCTTAATGTAC